CAACAAGACGGCATTGTTTGGGGTTCCAATGCAGGGCAAGAAAAACAGAGAGCCCAATTGTCCCTGTCATAATGGGTATATAATTTATAATAATGTCAGCTATTAAAGGATTTTTAGTAATTAACTGACAGTGGTGTGCTATTTCACTGCATTTTTGCCTGCCATAATGATCTTGAACTTTGCAAGACGGTTTTGAACTTGCTCAAAATAAGCCCTGAATACAAAGAAGGGCGACATCATTCCAAATGAGGGGTGAGAGGGGTTGGACAAAATGGGGCTGTTCTCCTCCCAGGGAGAGGGGTGAGCCAGTAGAACCAGGAAGATCTGAGGCCCACTGTCTTCCCAGGGAGCTGCGCAACCAGTAAGATGCCTGCCAGGCCCGAGCGGTGAGTAAAAGCAACTCGGCTGTTTCTTAACAGTGTGTTCAATTGCATTTTTTTTTTCAATATACCTTGTTTGCAAGATACACAGCTAGGAATATTTTTCTCTGCCCCAAATATGCTTCTATGCTCATCTTTCTGGAAACACATGTCTCTGTTGGTATGCCTATTACTCTTTTGATTTTTAACAGAGACATGGGAAATATTTCTCTTTCCTATTAATTCCACGAAGAAAGCCAAAGCCGGCATAAACCCAACGATAAATCGTAACTAACATTGAGTGGTGGGGAGAGGAGGCACTAGGGAGTGGTGGAGCCTGTGGCAAATTGGTAAGCTCAGGCCCAGTGTAAGTGAAGCATCTGTTATTCCGCTTCAGACAATCAGGACTGCAAACCCCTGACGGAGACTATTAGGTACCTCTGGCAACCTCGGTTCTCCCTCTTCCTCTTGAATAGCAGACTAAGGATTTATTCTCAGCTGGGCAAATTTTATCCTGGGGAAAGAAACTAGCTTGGCCTGAGCATAGTCACATGACTATCTCTAACCTCCCTTGCGCTTGATATGATCATATGACTATTCCTGGCCAATAAGATGTGAGTAGAAACTTTGTGCAGGAATTCTGGGAAGGTGGTCGAAAGTCAACTCAACTGGGAGGCACCCTTGCCCTCAACCTTTTCTTCTCTGGCCTGGAGTACGAGTGTGCTGGCTGGAGCCCTACATCCCATCATGGACCATGAAGCAGTCTTTGCAAATGGGAACTATATGCGGAGGATAACAGAACAGACAGAAAAAGGAGCCTAAGACCCTGATGATTCTTGAATCCACAGCCCCAGTCCTGGGCTGTCTATTTCTCTCCAGTCTTCTTTCCTGTAAGAGATAGCTATCTTATTTAAGCTTCTGTTATTTTGTGTTTTTCTGTTATAATCTGTCCAACTTAATCCTAATTAACACAACTGGACTATTACCAGAGTCCAAATTTTCACAGTTAGCCAGGTTTATACAGTTGGAAACCCTATTAAAAATATTAAAGTGTAGGGATACCTGGGTGGCTAGTCGGTTAAGCATCCGACTTCGGCTCAGGTCACGATCTCACAGTTCGTGGGTTCAAGCCTCACATCGGGCTCTGTGCTGACAGCTCAGAGCTTGGAGCCGGCTTGGGATTCTGTGTCTTCCCCTCTCTCTCTGCCCCTCCCCTGCTCACACTCTGTCTCTCTCTCAAAAATAAAAATAAACAAACACGAAAAAATTTCTAACTAAATTATTTTTAAAAGGTTTATAAAAAAAATTAAAGTACCAAACAGGCCAAACAAGCCATGTTTGTGCTTCATTCAGCCCAAGTGCCCCTCTGACTGATACCCTGGATGGTGGGGGTTAGGATTGCTGACGAACTGTCAGTCCTCTTTTCTGGGAATGTAGGATCGAGCTTCTGTGACTCAAGTATGGCCATGTGATTGGCTTTGGCCAATGAAATATGAGTAGGTGTGATGTGAAACACTTCTGGGCAGGTGATTTGAGAGCCCGTGTGGAGTTTACCATTTCCTATTGTCATTATAGAAGCAAGTCAGCATGGAGCTTCCCTCAGCTAAATCTCTGAGTGACTTTGAATAACTTTGAGGCATGTAGTACCTCAACAATAAACAAACATAATTGTTATAAAGCCACTGGGATTGGAGATTTTTGTTACCACTGCGTTACCTAGCCTCTCCTGACTGATCTGCCAAATGCACCCTGGGTATTGCTCATTGGAATTTGACAAAGCCCTCCATCAGCCTTTCTCTCTGTGGTTGAAATTCCCCATCTTTCTAACCTCTTATTCTTTTTTTTTTTTCCCATTGATTCTTTCACTCAATCGTACATTCATACATCAAACACACAGGGGCCCTTTTGTGTGCTAAGTCAAGTTGCTGCTCTCTGGAAGCTCATCTCCTTCCTTTGTCTCAGTGGTTTCTCTTGCCCATATCCCTCTGGACCCTTCCCAACCTCCCTTGCATCCAACCCAGCCACAGAAAGAAATAGGAAAACAGAGGGGAGAAAGTCTTTTGAGGGCAACTTCTCAGGTCTGGGATTCCTGTCAGAGCTCTTTGTCTTTTCCTTCTGATGCAACCCTCACCGCCTCTGGGGAGAAAACCAAGGCCCCGAGGCATTAACTAACTTGTCCAAGGTCACACAGTTAGAAAGCAGCAGAGGTAGACTTGAAGCGGGTCACAACAGCCTACAAGACTTATGCCCCAACCACCCTATATCACCCGCCTCCGTGGAGGCCTGTCTGCTGTGGTCAGTGCTACAGCACAAGTCATCTGTAGCAACAGCGCAGCATTTGCAGGGAAGAGCCTGTGTCCACTTCTGACTCTTTCTTTTGTCACAGACCAGAAAAGCATTTGTGATTCTGCATTGAGTCTGCTGCAGTCAGTGCAGCCCCCGCAGGCAGCTTGGCCTGCAGGCTGTGGGAGGCGTGAGGGTCGCACTTAGGCCTGGAGATGGTGGGTGGCAGCTCTACCTATTATAAAACTTAGAGCTGCAAGTAATGGGAAATCCAGCTCAAGATGGCTCTAATAATAAGAACATTTGTTATCCCGGGGGGGAAAAAAAAGAAGCTCAAAGGTAGAGCAGGGTCTCAGAGCAGGTCATCAAGGTCATCAAGGACCCATCTTTCCATCTCTTTGCTTCTCCGTCCTCAGTGGGGTTGGTTCTGACTTCGGCCAGCTTCCCCCACAGTGGCAACATGGCTGTCACAGTTCTGGCCATCACATCAGACACAATGAAGAACAGCTCTCCTGCCGGCCCCTTCCTAACCGTCAAGAACCTTTTCCCAGACACTCCAAGCAGACATCCCCTCAAATCTCCTTTGCCAGAATGGGATCACCAATTGACTTAAGCTGCAGAAATTTCATCTGTGAGGTGGCCAGGTATCTTCCACGCACCCTCTTCTACCCTGGCCCCTCTGCGTCCTGCAAGGCTGCTGTGCAAGGGCTCCATCAATGGGCCACCTTACCCTCTGCCTTCAGGGTGGACTCAGCCAATGAGGGTCACCAGAAAGTGCTCCTGGGCAGGAAGAAGGCGTGGTCGGAGTACTTACTCCCCAGTGTTCTCCTTGCTGGGCTACCATGGGTCACCTGCATCTTCTACCAAAGACCACAGCCCCTGAAAGGCAGCGCTCCTCCATACCACATTCTCTCCTGTCCTCAGGGACTTCTCAGTCCTAGGGGGTGATAATAGCTGTTGTTGGGAGCCCCTTGGTAGCCCCAGGCTAACTCACCTTTGGTAGCCCAGGCTAACTCACCACCCTGTGCTATTCCCAAACCCTGAATTTGGGCAATCTGAGACCGGACAGTACACTAGGCAGGGGATAAAGCTCCCTTTGCAGTCTTTAATTTTTTTTTTAATGTTTTATTTATTTCTGAGAGAGAGAGAGACAGCATGAGCAGGGGAGGGTCAGAGAGAGAGGGAGACACAGAATCTGAAGCAGGCTCCAGGCTCTGAGCTAGCTGTCGGCACAGAGCCCGACGCGGGGCTCGAACCCACGAACCGTGACATCATGACCTGGGACAAAGTTGGACACTTAACTGACTGAGCCACCCAGGCACCCCAGCAGTCTTCAGTCACTGTCTCCTGAGCCTCTTCCCAGGCCTCTTTAGCACTAGACTCTCAGTCCAAGCCAAACTATCCATCCCATCTCCCTATCCACCATGCCGACCTTCCCGTCTTTGTTGACAGCAGCACCAACCATTCAGGCTCCCAGGAACAAAACCAGGTGCCAATTTCCATTCTCCCAATGCCCTGCCCCCACCCAATCCAGAATGGTTTTCATTGATTCCATCTCTACTGTTCTCTCCCATTCCTCACCTTTTCCCAGTTTCAAGTCTCTGTCACTGCCCATCTGCTTCATGACAGCAGCCCCCTAAATGATCCCCCTGCCTCCGATTCATGCCACTGCCACAAGAAATGTCTTCAACACAGCTCTGATCATGATCTTCTCCTACTGCTCAAAACCTGTTCCAACTGCCTGCAAATTAAACTCCAGATGCTTTAACCTGGCAACAAAACCCTCCACATGAGGCCCCTGCCCAGCTTCCCTACCCCATTTCCCACTGCACGCACAGCCCCCTGACTACACAGGCTCTATCAGTCAGCCACTGCTGAGTACAAAATCATCCCAAGGCTTTGTAGCTTAAAACAAGAATGTACATTATTGCTACCGAGTCCAAGTTCAGGCAGAGCTTCTGCTGCTCTGAGCCAGGCACAGCTGATCCTGGCTTGGCCCAATCCCACTTCTGCAAGCAGCTGACAGGTTGACTAAGGGTTAGCTGGTCTGAGAAGGCCTCCCTCTCATGTCTAGTGGTTGTCTAGCTGGGTGAAAGGAAGTGAATGGGCCACATGTCACTCACAACATGGCAGACTCGTCCGGTGCTGTATTAGTTATCTATAGCTGCATAACAAGTTACACAGCTAAAAACCACAAACTGCCATTTTCTCACGGTCTCTGGGGGTCAGGAAGCCTAGTGCCCCTAGGTGGGTGTCTTTGGCTCGAAGACTCTCACAGGGCTACAGTCAAGATATCAACTGGGGCTTCAATCATCTCAAGGCTCCAATGGTGGTGGGTCTGCTTTTAAGCTTACTCACTTGGATTTTGGCAGGTCTCAGGTCCTTGCTAGCCCTTGGCCAGAAGCATCATTTCCTTGCCATGTGGGGTCTTCCATAGATACCTGCAGCACAGAAGCCAGAGTCCCTCAAAGCAAGCCAGCAAGAGATCAAGAAAGGGAAAGCAACATGGAAGTCAGCCTGTCTTTGCATGAGCTGATCTCAGAAGTGCCAACTCATGCTTTTGTGGCATTCTATTTCTTAGAAGCGAGGCACCAGGTCCAGCCAACACTCAATAGGAGCAGATTACACAGAGCATTCATCTCAGGAGGTGGGGATTATTGGGAGCCATTTTAGAGGCTGCCTGTCACCCCTGAACTTGGTCATACACTGGGGGCAGGGTTTCAAAGACCGCAAGAGTACATGCAGAAGTGCGTAAAACCTCTTGAAGCCCAGGCTCGGAACTCGTCTATGGTGAGCCAAAGCGAGCCATAGAACCAATTGCAGATTCAAGGTGTGGGGGAAGCAGACCCCATCTCTTGATGAGGAGAGCTGCCTAGTTACACTGCAGAGAGGCTGTGGGCAAGGATGGAGAATTGTGGCCATTTTTGCAAAGAACCAAACAGACTTCCCATCGGTCCTCAAAAGTGTTTTGGGCTTTCTAGCCTACAGGCCATGGGGTACAGTTTCTTCTTGTGTGTCTGAGGCTCACCTCTGCCTGTTTTCATCCTGCCGGTCTTTAAGGATCAACTCACAGTTTATATTTGTTTCCTTTCACTGCTATAACAGATGATTGCAAACATAGTGGCTTGAAACAACTCAAATTTTATTGCCTTACAGTTCTGGAAGTCTGAAGTCCAAAACAGGTGTCACGGGGCTGAAATCAGAGCATTGGCAGGGCTGCATACCTTTCCAGGGCTCGAGGGCACTTTTCCAGATTCTAGAGGCTTGGCTCACGTCCCCTTGACCATCTTCAGCACCAAGAATGGCTGGGGGAGTCTTTCTCCTCCTATCCCTCTGACACTAATTCTCTCTCTCCTTCCTTCTTCCACTCGTAAGGACCCTGGTGATTATAGTGGGTCCACATTGACAAGCCAGGATAATCTCCCCAGCTCAAGGTCAGCAGATAAGCAACCTCAAGCCCACCAGCATCTACAATCCCCCTTCCCATGTAATCTAACATATTCTCAGGTTCCAGGTTCTAGCACATGGACACCTTTGCTGGGGCCATTCCTCTGTCTACGACCCCACCCCCACCCACACTGATGGCAGCATTTTGTTGAGCACTTACTATGTGCCGGCCAGGGTGCCCAGTGCTCCTTTCCCTGAATGACTCCACCCATTCTCCACGTCCCTATGAGGAAGGTACTCTTAGTGTTCTTATTTTACAGACTCCAAGAAGTTAAGCGATTCCCCAAGGAGACCCAGAGAGCACGTGCTGGATGGACAATGGAACTTGAACTCGAATCTCCCAAGCTCTGAAGCCAGAGTCCCAATCACTTGATCATGCTGTGTGCTCTGAAGCCACCAGATCCCTTCAGCTTGATGTCACTCCTGCTCTGTGCCTCCCTAGCCAAGGAAGACTGGGCCTATCTTTTCAGAGAGATTCTTCTCAAGTCTCAGTTTGGAGCACACCACCTCCCCCAACTCAGCTGTCAATGTAATAAAAGTATTTAATGAAAATCTGCCGTGAGCTGGAACCTTCTCGCCCAACATTTCTCACACCCGCTGTGAAGGCAGGTGTTACTTCCACTTCTCAGTGAAGGAAACAGAGGCTCAGGGGAGGGCCAGCCTCAGGGTTCGTTGGTGTCAGTGCTGGGAGTCGAATCCACGCCTAACTCCAAAGCCCGTTCTCACCTCTGCTAGGCCACCTGTGCAGCTGTAAATGCCAACTGCCTTTGTAAGCCAGAGAGAACCCTATGTATCGTTAGCCAGCTTCAAGCTGGATGTGTAGCCCAGTGGTTAACTGGGAGACTCTCGACTTCCAATCCAGCACTCCTGGTTTCTGCCTGGGTCTGCCTCAATGTCCTCAACTGTAAGACGGGTTCAGTAATAGCACATACCTCACCCGATTCGCTGTGAGGGTTAAACAGTCTAACCTACCTAAAATGCTCTTGACAGTGACTACTACCACGCAGAAAGCATTCTTCGTGTTGGCGTTATTGTGGGTTTGTCTGGTCAGCCGGGGCTCACTCAGCTCCTATCCCAGTGTCCGGCCATGCCCTTGGCCTCTGCTCCGGCCTTGCTGGGGCATCTCTCTCATGTGACACTTCATCACCCCAGACTGCCTACATGGAAGGTTATCTGGAAGAACAAAAATAGATAATTGTGGAGAAAATACTTTGTCAACTACAGAGTAAAGTGGGCCCAAAGTGGACCCGTGCTGGCTCTTCATGACCCATAGGAAGGGCTTAACGATCGGGCCAGACAACTATTGACCCCCGGAGGATCCAGTGAGGCGGCCTCCCCAGCGGGGCCCCAGGGGGACAGAGGGCCAGCAGCTGTCATATTTCCTCCTCCTCTCCCATCTCCACACCCCACCCCACCCCCATCCATCCTGGGGTGGCCAAGGCTGCAGGAATGCGATGGTATCTCAGCAAACAGACAGGCTGTTCCCAGAGGAGCCGGGGCCGCCCCCAGGAGGCCCCACTCTCGCAGCCACAGTAAACACAAGGGTCTGTCCTCATTATCAGCCTGGCTCAGCAGCAGTGAGACAGTCTGCCCGCTGAACGGCTCCGCAGAGCGATAAGCCGCCTGGCCCCTTGTTGGCTGTCCTCCTGGGTCTGTAGCCGAGCTGCCCGGGAGGAGGAATCTCAGGGCTGGCCTGGCTTGGGGCCTAAATACCTCATCCAGGGGTGGGGGGCCGAGGGCAGGGAGCCGACCGCCCGAACACTGAGAACATCAGTCACTCAGATGAAGGAAGGGAAGGACCAGAGCTGTGCCAAGGGGCCGGGGCACACAGGCTCCAAAGCTCTCCGTTGCTCTCAAAGACTTCTGAGTCTGCTAATCACAATGCTTTGCCAGACTGCTTCATCACCATCATCTTCCCAGACTACACCCATTGACGATAGTGCTCCTTCCAGTGTTTTCCAATCCACGCGCCACTCAGTGAATTACTGTGCAGAAAGCACTCAGCTCCGGGCTTGGTGAGGGCTCAGAGGAAGTCAGCTTGCGGTAGGCAGTCCGGTAACATTCTCTCAATCATTCTGGCGGCGCAGGCAAGCCCCAGTCCCTCCAAATAGTAACAGGGAGCTATTCTCTGGGATGGTCATGACCACTGTGTCCTCAGTTCCTTGACTCCCTGAAGGGGGGGAATACCGGGGTGAACCGTGTCCCCATCTGGCAGCGAAGGAGACTTGAAGGGCCCAGATCGGTGAAGTGCTTCGAAGGCCATACAGCCAGGACATCAATGACATAGTGGGAACCAGCCACAAGCCCTCGGACTCAAAGTCTGACGAACTTTTTCCATCCTGGCCACCGCCTGCCCCTGGCCAGCAACTGAGGAGCTGAGACTGGGTCACTGGTCTGTGTTCCGGATCCTCTCCAGGGTCAGGCAGAAGCAGATCCAGATCCTGGGGGGTGGAGATTAGCTGACAACTCCTCCATAGCCGCTTGGAAAGCAGCAGTGAAAAGAACTCCAAATAACCAGTGGAGGCTGTGGACCCACAGGGTGAGCACTCGGCTAGGAGTCCAACAGCCCTGGGTTCCAACCAACTGCTATTTTCAGGCTGGTGACCCAGGGGCGGGCACTTACCATCTCTGGATTTGGTCCCAAGATCAACCTCTGCTGAGGGCTGTTTGGTGAATTGTATGAAATAGCACACATCAAAATCCCCTGCTTTGGAGCTCCTGAGTCAGATGACCTCGCTTACGGATCAGCTGACTTTCGAACCCCTGACCATCATTGAGTGCCCAGCTCAGATGCCTCCTATCCAGGCAGCCCTCCCTGGTTGCCCAGCTGGGTGTAACCGCAGCCTCTTTGGAGGTGTCACATCTCTCCCAGGGTACCCTCTCCCTTGCATGGGGGCCAAAGTTCAGTACTGATTCCTCATGGCACCCCCAGCCCCCAGCACAGAGTCCAGGCACATTAAGTGTGTGATAAAGTAAATGAATGGGCCACGAAAATGAAATGGCTACTCTGCCCCTCTTCTGCCACCCTCTACCTGGGCCTTGCTCTCTGCTCTTGAGACTCACAGAAACATCTCTGCGCTTACCAAGTCTATAATCCAGACGCCGACATCACAGAGACTTCTGTTGCCTCCTCCCTCCTAAACACATCTTATCTACTCCCCCTCCCCCACAGGTACTGTCTCGTAGGCAAGGGACCTGCTGGTGGCTTTTGGTCTTTGCAAATGTGTCCACCATCACCTCCTCCAACAAACCAGCAGGGCCTCTGAATCTCTCCTCCCCCATATTAACAGTTTCAGATTCTCATGGTAGCAGAGGGAATGGATGGGCACTGAGCTAGAATTTGGAGAATGGTCCCCACAATATCTCAGGTTTTCTCCAGGCTATGTCTTTTTTTTTTTTTAATGTTTATTTTATTGAGAGAGGGAGAGAGCAAGCTGGGGGAGGGAAAGAGAGAAGGGAAAAGAGAATCCCCGGCTGGCTCTGAGCTGCCATCTCAGAGCCCAACGCAGGGCCTGATCCCACAAACCGGGAGATCATAGCCTGAGCTGAAATCAAGAGTCAGGTGCTTAACAGACTGAACCACCAGGCGCCCCGCTCCAGGCCGTGTGTTCGTCCCCGAGTCTGCTGGAATGTTCCCACCTCCACCATCCACATCTCCATGAGATCCCCACATCACAGGGTGCTCCTTTACTCCCCAGCTGCAGCCTCAGACCTGCGGCTATGTCCCCAGGCATGGCCACGGCCTCTGCCATCAGCCCCTGAGTACCACGCTGTCACCACCGTATTCCCAAATATGTATGGACTGTCGTACTCTATACCACGTACTATTCTAGGCCCAGGGGGAATGGGGTGCTACACAGCAGTGAGCAAAGCAGATATTATCTCTCCCCTCATGGAGCTTTCATTCTAGTGAGGGAAACAGATAATTAAAATGAGTAAAATATACAGTATTTTAAGTTAGCTTTATTATAGGTAACTTTGCTATTGGAAGTAAGGGCTTTGGCTAAACGTAAAACAGGGATGAGTTTGGGGAGTGCTGGATGGAGTTGCTATTTAAACGGGGTGGCCAGGGGGCGCCTGGGTGGCTTAGTCGGTTAAGCGTCTGACTTTCGCTTAGGTCATGATCTCGCGGTTCGTGGGTTCGAGCCCCGCGTCGGGCTCTGTGCTGACTGCCAGCTCAGAGCCTGGAGCCTATTTCGGAGTCTGTGTCTCCCTCTCTCCCTGACCCTCCCCTGCTTACGCTGTCTCTCTCTCTATCTCTCTCCTAGAAATAAATAAAACATTTAAAAAAAATAAAATAAAATAAAATAAAAAAATAAACGGGGTGGCCAGGTGGGCCTCCTTAAGAAGGTAACATTTGCTCAAGTTGAAGGAGGCAAGGGGATGGGCCTTGAGGGTCCTGGGGAAGAGTGTTCCAAGCAGGGGGAATAGCCAATGTAAAGTCCCCTGTTTGAATGTATGCCCCCACCTCGGTGCACCCACATTTTTCATCCCTCTAGTGGGATTTGACATAGGTGAAGAGTGTTCGAGGAAGTGATTCACTTGGTCACCTGTCCTGCTGCCTCAGGAGCTCATTGGGGCAGGGACCCCGTAATGGTCAATGTCACAGTCATGCCCCACACCCCCCTGACATGTCCGGAAGCACACAACCCACACCCACAGGCCCAGACAGGCACACCCACGCTTGTACGGAGAGACCCATACACTGTGGCCATAAAGAAGGGCTCGGTTATTGTCTGCTGGGATGAACTGCGTGAAGAGTAAATAATAATTAAGTGCGCCCAGCCCCACTGAGTTTACAAAGGTCTCCCTTGTGCCTACTCTTTGAGCCGAGAACTGGGTGGTTATTAAAGCGAGGCTCAGAGAGACCAAGGTGAGCAGACTGGTAATTGGTATTTGCAGTACTAGAACCTGGCTCATCTGATTACCATCCAACGTATGATTTCATTTGAAAAAAAATAGGTCAGATGCGAATGTAGCACAAAACTCAGAATGTTCATAGAGACACAGAAGTGTCCCTCTTCTCCTCCCCAAGTGTACTTAAATGGGGACTTAAAGAGGGCCCCCTCTTTCTGTGAAGAGACTCGGCTTCGCAAATATATCTGACAGGATGGACATAGGCTGGGAGCCCTTGCTCTGGAAGCATCTCTTCTTTGCTCCTAGAACCTAGGCTATTCGGGGCCAGGCTTGGCATCCACTTGGTTTCCACAAAACTACAACCACGACATAGTCACTGTGTGTCCTATAGCTTAGTCCCTGGGGAATATCCACTCATCATGAGGAACTCCGTGTCCTCAGAGAGAGGAGACAGGGATGGGTTGGGGGGGAACCGGGCATGGTGAGAATGTCTTGAAAACGGGGACCCCATTTAATGACTTCTGCATTCTTTCATGGTGGTTTTACTGCTGATGGACTGTAATTCCCCAAGAAATGCGTGGCGTTGGAGTCACTGCCTGACTGCCCCACCATACCCTCGCACGGTGCCCCAGACACAGTCAACTACAGCTATGTAGTGTAGTGCATGCCTTTCCTTTACTAGGAGCAGATGAAAATGAGTCAGCGGACGGCCTGCTGCCAGGAGTTTGTAGTCCAGGGGAGGATGGATGCACAGACACACGCCCACACCAATGGGACAGTACTCGGGAGCGTGGAGGAAATCAAAAGATGGTGTTCTTCCTGGAATGAGTGAGAGAGAGAGAGAGAAGGAATGCCCAGGACCCCAGGCAGAGGGGCCAACACATATAATGAACAGGAATGTTTAAGAAATGGTAAGAGGAGGGGCGCCTGGGTGGCTCAGTCAGTTGAGTGTCTGACTTCGTCTCAGGTCATGATCTTGTGGTTTTGCAAGTTCAAGTCCCATGTCAGGCTCTGTGCTGACAGCTCAGAGCTTGGAGCCTGCTTTGGATTCTGTGTCTCCCTCTCTGTCTATGTCTCCCCTGCTCACTCTCTTGCTCTCTCTCTCACTTTCAAAAATAAATATACAGTTAAAAAAAAAAAAGAAAGAAATGTTAAGAGGAACTTGGTTTTCGGTGGCAAAGAC